CTGTAAAATCGAAAATTGAAGAACTGAAAAATTGAAAAATCCAAAAATTTAAAAATTGAAATATTAAAAAACCCGAAACTGAAAAATCGTGGAAAATCGAGAAACTGAAAAATCAGGCAGTTAAAAAAACGAAAAATTAAAAATGGAGAAACTGAAACACCAATAAAATGAAAAATTAATAAATTGAAAGTTTGAACACTTAACAAAAAAAAAAAATGAAATCAAAATTGAAAAACTGAAAAGTCGTAAAACTGGAAATCGAAACACTGAAATGAAAATTCGAAAAATCATAAAAAATTCGAAAATTTAAAACTGCAATATTGCAAAATCTGGAAAATGAAAAACTGAAAAGTCGAAAAAATGAAAATCGAAAAATTGAAGATATTGAAAAATTGAGATGTTTTAATATCGAAAAATGGAAAAATTAAATAATTAAAAATTGAGAAAGTGGAAAATTCAGAGAAAAAAAAAATAAAAAATTAAAAACTCAAAACATTTTATAAATAGAAAACTTAAAAAATCGAAAAAATTAGTAAAAACAAAAAATTAATCTATCAAGAAATTTAATAAATGTAGAATCGAGAAACAGTAGAAATAAAAATGTGAAAAATCTGATACTTGAAATCCAAAAATTGCAATATCGTAAAATCAAGAAAATTCACGAAATTAAAATAACGAAAAATTAAAAATCGAGAAACTGAAAAATTAGATAGTTGAAGGATTGAAATGAAAAACCGAAAAATCAAAATTGAACAATCGAAATACTGCAACATTCCAACCTGAAAAATTGGAAATGCGAAAAAATGAAAAACCGGAAAATTGGTAAACCGAAAAAATAAAAAACTCAAAACTTTAAATAGTGAAAAATTGAAAAATTCGTAATTGAACATTTGAAGAAATGCAAATTGATTAATTGAAAATTCGAAAAATTAAAAATCCAGAAAGTGGAAAATTGAAAAAAATCGAATAATCAAAATATTTAAAAACTAAAATTACACAATCGAAATATTGCAACTGAAAAATTGGAAATGCGAAAAAATGAAAAATCGGAAAATTGGTAAACCGAAAAACTGAAAAACTCAAAAAATTAAAAAATTGAAATATTAAAAATTTAGAAACTGAAAAATCCTGGAAACTCGAGAAATTAAATAATCAGAAAATTAATAATTGAGAAAGTGGAAAATCCAAAGAGAAAAACAAAAAATTAAAAAATCAAAACATTTTATATAGACAACTTGAAAAATCGAAAAGTTGGGAAATCGAAAAATTAAAATATCAAGAAATTGAAAAATTGAAAAAACATAAAATCGAAAAATTGTAGAAATAAGAAGTTGAAAAATCTCATAATTGAAATCCAAAAATTGCAATATTATACATTCAAGAAAATTGACGAAACTGAAAAATCTAAAACTTAAAATATCTGGAATGAATAATTGGAAAATTGAAAATAGAAAAATTAAAAATCGAGAAACTGAAAAGTTGAAAATTTCAACAATTACAAGAAAGCGAAATTAAAAAAAAACTGAAAAGTCTAAAAATTATAAATTGAAAAAAATCGAAAAATCAAAATATTTAAAAACTAAAATTGAACAATCGAAATATTGCAAAATTCCAACCTGAAAAATTGGAAATACGAAAAAATGAAAAATCGGAAAATTGGTAAACCGAAAAAATGAAAAATTCAAAACTTTAAATACTGAAAAATTGAAAAATGCGCAATTGGACATGTGAAGAATTGCAAATCGATTAATTGAAAATTCGAAAAATTAAAAATCTAGAAATTGAAAAATTGAACAATCCAAAAATTGAAAACTTGAAATATTAAAAAATCAGAAACTGAAAAATCGTGGACAATCGAGAAAAGTTAAAAAAACGAAAAATTAAAAATGGATAAACTGAAACACCAATAAAATGAAAAGTTAATAAATTTAAAGTCTGAACAATTAACAAAAAACGAATGAAATCAAAATAGAAAAACTGAAAAGTCGTAAAACTGGAAATCGAAACACTGAAATGAAAATTCGAAAAATCATAAAAAATTGAAAAATTTAAAACTGCAAACTGAAAAACTGAAAAGACGAAAAAATGAAAAATCGAAATATTGAAAAATGTGAAAATTGAAAAATCAAAAAATTAAAGAAATTGAAAAATTGAGATGTTTAAATATCGAAAAATGGAAAATAAAACAATTAAAAATTCCGAAACTGAAAATTCGTGGAAAACTGGAAAATTTGAACAATCGAAAAATTGAAAAAATTAAAAATTAAAAATTGAGGAAGTCGAAAATCTAGACAATAATATACAAAAATTAGAAAATGTAATAATTGTGAGAGTGGAAAATCCAAAGAATAAAAACAAAACATTAAAAAATCAAAACTTTTTAAATAGAGAAATTGAAAAATCGAAATGTTCGAAAATTAAAATATCAAGAAATGAAAATTTGAAAAACTGTAGAATCAAAAAATACTACAAATAAAATATTTCAAAATCTGATAATTAAAATACTAATATTAGAAAATCAAGAAAATTAACGAAATTGAAATAACGAAAAATTAAAAATCGAGAAACTGAAAATTGAAAATCTGGACATTTACAAAAACGAAAATTGAAAAGTCTAAACATTGCAACTCGAAAAATTGAAATGAAATATCGAAAATTAAAATATTGAAAAACTTAAAATTCAAAAATCGAAATATTGCAATATTGCAAACTGAAAAATTGGAAATTTGAAAAAATTGAAAAATTGGTAAGCCGAAAAACTGAAAAATTCAAAAGTTAAAATACTGGAAAATTGAAAAATTCGTAATTAAACATTTGAAGAATTGCAAATCAAATACCTAATTGAAAATTCGAAAAATTACAAACGAGGAATTGAAAAATCGAAAAACTGAAATAAACGAAAAATTTCAAATCGACTGAAAAGTCGTCAAATTCGAAATCGAAACATTGAAATGAAAAATCGAAAAATTATAAGATTGAAAAACTTAAAACGCAATATGGCAAAATCGAAAACCGAAAAATTGAAAAAGCAAAGAAAAAAAATTAAAATTGAACAAAATTCGAAAGTTGAAAGACGAAAAATTTAAAAATTGGTATTTGAACATTGGAAAAGTTCAGAACGAGAAACTGAAAAAACAAAAAATTATAAATCGCGAAAGTGAACAATCGAAAAACTGTAAAATCGGAAAATTTCAGGTCGAAAAATCGAAGAATTGAAAACTGAAAAACCGAAAAATTGAAGTATTAAAATTTCAGTAACCGAAACATTGAAAAAGAGAAAAAATAATAAATTGAAAAAAAAAGTGAAATCAAAACTGGGAAACTGAAAAGTAGAAAAACTGGACATCGAAACATTGCAATGAAAAACCGAAAAATCATAAAATTGGAAAACTTAAAACTACAATATTGCAAAATCGGGAAACTAAAAATTGAAAAGCAAAAAATTGAAAAAAATTCAAAAGTAGAAATAAGAAAAATTTAAAAATCGGTAATTCGAAAATTGAAAACTAGAAACTGAAAAAATTGAAAAATTAAAATATCTAGAATTTGAAAAATTGAAAAACTGTAAAATCGAAAAATTCCAAATCAACAAATTTTTCAAATCTTCAAAAAATTTTGAAGTCGAATTAAAAAAACGAAAGATTGAATATAGAAAAATGAAAAAAATCTCATCGAAATATTGAAGAAAACTGAAGAATTCCAAAATTGAAAAATTTAAAACTTAAAGCTTGAAAAAGTTCAAATTGAAAAATTGAAGAAGTGAAGAGCTGAATAATCGAAAAATTAAAAAATCAAGAGTTGAAAACAGAAAATTAAAAATTTCAAAATTCAACACTCGATAACCGAAAATTGGACATATCGTGACCTGGTTTACAGATTCAATTATTTGCTTGCGATTAAGCACCACGTGACCGACTCTACGCCAATCAGACATTGCTAAACGCCTTGCTAAATGCGTGATTAACTTAATCTCGGTAGAAAATATTGTATAAACTAATCTCGAAAAATGAAAAATTGAGAAGCCGAAAAACGAAAAATTGAAAACTCGACAAATTTTATCAATTCGTGTTTAGTCTTAAATTTATCATTTAGGACTGAACACGAAAAATTGCAAATCGAGGAATTGAAAAATCGAAAAACTGAAGAAATAAACTGAAAAATCGGAAAACTAAAAAATTCAAAAGGTGAAATCGAATAGTTGAAAGTATTGAGATTGAACACTTGTACCGCGAAAGTGAAAATTCGAAAAACTGAAAAAACAGGAAATTGAAAAATGGAGACTGAAAAACGAAAAAATTAAAATATAGAATCCAGAAATTGCAAATGGAGAAACACTGAAGAGATGAAAAATTGCAAATCAAAACAGTTCGAAAAATTGAAAAATTCCAAAGTTAAAAAATTTAAAAACTGAAAAATTTAAAAATGAACAACCTAAACATTGAATATTTTCAAATTGAACATTTGAAATCGAAAAATTGAAAAATCGGAAAATTTAAAATTAAAATAGAAAAAATGTCAACAATTGCTATAAACATAATTGTATAAAAAATTAAAGAGCCAAGTATAAGTTGTCCTTGAAAATGTTTTGGTAAATTCAATCAAATGGGGATGTCCAAATTTCAGTTAATGATAACTCGACCTTTTACAGGTTATCATTTTTACTATATAAATATGTTCTAATCTTTTTATTGTGTTGATTTTTATAATTTCGCACAAACTGCGTAGAAACGTGAGGAAGTTCGTAGCATTTCAAAATGTGGAGAGTTAAGCAATTTGTTATACAAGTTATCATTCTGTGTGTTGTAGGTAAGCGAAAAACCGAATTTGTATTATTAATATTAAGCTATTCCTACATATATCATATAGCGTAGGAAGTAAACAAATTATTTTCTATCTTGGTAAATATTAGGCTTGAAAGGTAAAACATTTCACCAAAAATATGATCATCAACTCAAAATTTTGCTAAGTAAATCTAATTTTTTTTATCTTGTTTTAAATAGTTGGTACTACCAGTGGTACTCAGCATATTAACAGCCGCTACGCCAGAGCGTTTTACCAAGGTTTAGACACCAGGTACCACTCTTCAATAAAATCATTTTCGTCATTAACTCAATCACGTATGTACTCGTAGATGTACTCTACCACCACACCCAGCTTTCGGTAAATGGACCATTTTCGACGACTCTTCTGACTTATCACCCGGACAACTAGTATCATCTAGAACCGTCCTAGAAATAAACTGTGACGAAAACTACAATCTCGACGGTGAAGACACCTCAGTTTGTCTTCGTGGAAAATGGAAGCCCTCAATTGGACGCTGCTTACGTAAATATTATAACACTTGTTTAAGTGGCTTGAACTCAAAGACTTTCTAGGAACATGTCCTCCAATCAACAGCACCTTAGCAATGACAGTAACTTGTACCTACAACGACAAAGAACTAACACCTTGTACTGGCGCTCTTGAAGGTACGATTGCCCGATTTCGATGCGCCGATTTTTACGAAGACCAAGGTTTGGAGTCTCAACCATTACGAATCTGTGCTAAGGGAGCATGGGGAAGCAATCTGCCGAAATGTGTTCCACGTGAGTACCACAAGAACGATCCATAGAATGGTGTTTATGTTGTTTTCAGGTTGTGGTAAACCAGCGTCTGCTAGACTTGCTACCTTGATCATTGGGGGTACTGTCGTCGAAAGGGGACAGTATCCGTGGCAGGTAGCAATCTACATGAAAAGAAATAAAGAGTTAATTTGTGGAGGTACTTTGCTTAACCAAAGGGTTATTTCAACTGGTAATGTTATTTAGAGAGAAAAAAAAATTAATACATGTTTATAAAATTGCAGCGGCGCATTGTATAACGGGTACTACTGGTAAACTTCAACCAAAAGAAGATTTCATTGTGGCTGTTGGCAAGTACTATCGACAATTTGATCATCATGAAGAGACGGCACAATTTTCTTCGGTATGTCTCGACACTTTTATGTTTTATTGAGTTTCTGTCTGTCTGTTTGTCTGTCTGTCATCTGTCTGCATTTTTGTTAGACAGAAAAGCTCTGAAACTACTGGATCGATTATTATTGTCAAATCTTATGTCACCAACAAAAGGATGACATCATCTCCAAAATTAGTAAATGTTATTTAAATTTTATAAAATATCATGCTCCTGCACTGGTGGTTTATGAATTCGTGTTGAGTTTCTACCCTAGACATCTAGATTTTTGGAAAGAAAATAGAAACAAAATTGTATAATAACATTTTTCAATTTAATTTTGAAATTGCAAGAACGAATGCTCTGAAAACTCGTGAACGTTTTAAGGTTATCGTAAGGATGATAAACCGTCAATCAAAATTTATTTGTCCATGACGCCTTCCCGCCGCAAAGATTGTCGATTGTTAAATTTGTACAATGTTTCCTTTACTCAATTTTCCGAATTTTGAATATTTCGACTTTCCGATGTTTCGATTTCTGTGTTTTTTAAGTTTTGATTTCTCAATTTTTCGATTTTTTGACATTTTATTTTAGGATTTTTCATTTTTTCGATTTTTTTATTTTGCAATTTTTAAATTTTTTGATTCTTTAATGTTCCAATTTTTGGAGTTTCTAAAATTTTGATTTTTAGACTTTTCGATTTTTCTACTTTTTGACTCGATTTTTCGATATTTTGTTTTTTCCATTTCTCGATTTCTCGATTTTTCGATGTTTCGGTTTGTTGGTTTCTCGATTTTTCGATTTTCAAATTTTCAATTCTTCAATTGTTGGATTTTTCGATTTCTCAGTTTTTTGATAACTCGATTTTTCGATGTATCCGTTTTGGGATGCTTCAGTTTTTCCATTATTGAATTTTTCTTCGATTTTTCAATTTTTCATTGTTTGAGTTTTGGGATTTATCAATTTTTCGATTATTCAATTTTTGATATTTTAATTTTTTGATTTCTTAAATTTTAGATTTTAGATTTCGGATTTCTCGTCTTTCTATTTTTTGATGTTCCAGATTCTCGAATTTTCTATTTTTCGATTTTCAGATTTTCAATTCTTCACTTTTTCGACTTTTCGATTTGTCGATTTTTTAGTTTTTAGATTTTTCAGTTTTTAGGTTTTTGAATTTTTCTATTTATTGACTAATCAGTTTTTCCTGATAATTTAATTTTTGATTCCTTAAATTTTAGATTTTTCGATTTCTCGATTTCTCGTTTTTTCATTTTTTTATGTTCCGGTCTTTCGTTTCCTCAATTTTTGATTTTCAGACTTTAAATTTTCAATTTTTCGACTTTTCGATTTCTCGATTTTTCAATGTATACCTATCGGTTTCTTGATTTCTCGATTTTTCGTTTTCAGATTTTCAATTCTTCAATTTTCCAACTTTTCGATTTTTCGATAATAGGTTGTTCGATGTTCCAGTTTTTCGATTATTCAATTTTTCTTCGATTTTCATCTACGTTTGACTTTTGGGATTTTTCGAGTCATCAATTTTTTTATATTTTATTTTTTTTTAATTTTCGATTTTTCGATTTCTCGATTTCTCGTATTTTAATTTTTGACCTTTCGGTTTTCCGATTTCTCGATTTTTCAATCTTCAGATTTTCAATTTTTCAATTTTTCGACCCTTCGATTTCCCGATTTCTCCATGTTTCGGCTTCTCGACTTCTCGATTTGTCGACTTGTCGATTTTCAGTTCTTCAATTTTGCGACTATTCGATTTGTCGATTTTTCGGTTTTTCGATGATTCGGTTTCGGGTTTTTTCAGTTTTTCCATTCTTCAATTTTTCTTCCATCTTTTAATTTTTCGATTTTTCAATTTTTCTATTTATCGACTGATAGATTTTTGGGATTTTCGAGTTTTGGGATTTTTAAATTTTTCGATTCTTCAATTGTTTGATAATTTAATTTTTTGATTCCTTAAATTTTAGATTTTCCGATTTCTCGATTTCTCGTCTTCTTATTTTTTGATGTTCCGGTCTCTCGTTTTCTGTATTTTTGATTTTCAGACTTTAAATCTTCAATTTTTCGACTTTTCGATATCTCGGTTTTTCAATGTATATCGGTTTCTTGATTTCTGGAGTTTTCGATTTTCAGATTTTCAATTTTTCAATTTTCCGACTTTTCGATTTTCCACTTTTTCGATAATAGGTTGTTCGATGTTCCAGTTTTGAGATTTTTCAGTTTTTCGATTCTTCAATTTTTCTTCGATTTTTCAATATTTCTATACATCTTACGTTTGACTTTAGGGATTTTTCGAGTCTTCAATTTTTTGATATTTTATTTTTTTTTAATTTTCGATTTTTCGAGTTCTCGTATTTTTATTTTTCGACCTTTTGGTTTTCCGATTTCTCGATTTTTCAATGTTCAGATTTTAAGTGTTTCAATTTTTCGACCCTTCGATTTCCCGATTTCTCCATGTTTCGGCTTCTCGACTTCTCGATTTGTCGACATGTCGATATTCCGTTCTTCAATTTTTCGACTATTCGATTTGTCGATTTTTCGGTTTTTCGATGTTTCAGTTTCGGGATTTTTCAGTTTTTCCATTCTTCATTTTTTTTTTTTCGATTTCCCAATTTTTCGATTTTTAGATTTTCAATACATCAGTTTTTCGACTTTTCGATTTTTCATTTTTCAATTTTTCGATAACTCAGTTTTTCAATGTTTCAGTTTTGGGATTTTTCAGTGTTTCCATACTTCAATTTTTTGAATTTTCAGTTTTTCAACCTTCTAAATTTTACTTTATTCGATTTATCAAATTTTTCTTTTTTTTTAAATTCCAGGTTTCCGATTTTTCAGTTTTTCGTTTTTAAAAATTGTACCTTTCTGAATTTTTCAATTTGTCAATTTTACGATTTTTTAATTTTTAATATGTATGTATTTCAATCTTTCTGTTTCTCGAATTCTCTATTTCTCGACTTCTCTGTTTTCAACGATTAAAACTTTTCGATTTCCCGATTTTTCAAGTTTTTGATTTTTCAACTTTCCGACACTTCAATTTTGGGAATCTTCCATTTTTCAATTTTCATTTTTTCGATATTTAATTTCAGATTTTTCGGTTTGTCGATTTCTCAACTGCTTGACCTTTCGATTTCTCGATTTTTTGATGTTTCGATTTTTCAATGTTTCAATTTTTCAATATTTCTATGTTTCGAATTCTCGATTTTTCCGTTTTTCGATTTTTCGATTTTTTCATTTTTCGATTCTCGATTTTTTGATATTCGAACTTTTTTGTTTCGATTTCTCGATTTTTCAGCTTTTCAATTTTTCGAATTCAATTTTTCGATTTTAAAATTTTCAATTTTTCAACTTTCTATATTTCTTTTTCTCTATATTTCGATTCTTGGAATTTTCGACTTTTTGAAATTTTGGTTTTCGAATTTTTGATTATTCTGTTTTTGATTTTCTATTTTTAGATTTTCTAATTTCCGGTTTTACAATGCTTGGATATTTGCTTTTTCGAATATTTGATTAATCGAATTTTCACTTTATTTCCTTTTCGATTTCTCAAATTTTTAATTTTTTAATTCTTTTTCTATTTTAGAATTTTCGACTTTTCAACTTTCGATATTGCGTTTTCTCTATATTTCAATTCTTGGATTTTTGGATTTTTCGAAATCTTGCCTTGGGAATTTTTGATTATTCGGTTTTTTGATTTTCGATTTATAGATTTTCGAATTTTCTGTTTTCATATTTCTTGGATTTTCGTTTTCTAGAATATTTGATTATTCGAATTTTCACCTGGTTTCCTTTCCGATTTCTCGATTTTTCAATTTTTCAATTTTTCTATTTTTCAAATTTGCTCAGTTTTTCGATTTTTCAGTTTATCCATTTTTCCATTTTAGAATTTTCTATTTTTCAACTTTCGGTATTTTGTTTTTCCTATATTTCGGTTTTTGAAATCTTGATTTTCGTATTTTTGATTTTTGTTTTTTACATTTTCGAATATTCGATTTTTCAATTTCTTGGATTTTCGTTTTTTCGAATATTTCATTCATAGAATTTTCACTCTGTTTCCTTTTCGAGTTCTAGATTTTTCAATTTTTTAATTCTTCCATTTCTCAAATTTTCTCGGTTTTTAGATTTTTCAGGTTTTCCATTTTTCGAGTTTTCGATTTTTAAATTTACTCGATTTTTTTAATTCCAATTTCTCGATTTTCAGCTTTTCCATTTTTCGACTTTAATTTTACCATTTTAAAATTTTAGATTTTTCAACTTTCGATGTTTCGTTTTCTTTAAATTTCGACTCTTGGATTTTTCGATTTTTCGAAATCTTACCTTTCGATTTTTGGTTATTCGGTTTTCTGATTTTCGATTTTTGGCTTTTCGAATTTTGTTTTCCAATTTCTTGGATTTTTGTTTTCTAGAATATTTGATTCATCGACTTTTCACCGCCTTTCCGATTTATCGATTTTTCAATTTTTCAAATTTGCTCGGTTTTTAGATTTTTCGGTTTATCCATTTTTCGATTTTAGAATTTTTGATTTTTCGGCTTTCGGTATTTTGTTTTTTCTATATTTCGGTTTTTGAATTTTTCAATTTTTCGAAATCTTGATTTTCGTATTTTTGTTTATTAGGTTTTTTGATTTTCGATTTTTACATTTTCGAATTTTCTATTTTCCAATTTCTTGGAGTTTCATTTTTTCGAATATTTCATTGATGAATTTTCACTCTGTTTCCTTTTCGAGTTCTCGATTTTTCAATTTTTTAATTCTTCCATTTCTCAAATTTTCTCGGTTTTTAGATTTTTCAGTTTATCCATTTTTCGAGTTTTCGATTTTTAGATTTACTCGATTTTTTTAATTCCAATTTCTCGATTTTTCAGCTTTTCCATTTTTCGACTTTAATTTTACCATTTTAAAATTTTAGATTTTTCAACTTTCGATGTTTCGTTTTCTTTAAATTTCGATTCTTGGATTTTTCAATTTTTCGAAATCTTACCTTTCGAATTTTTGGTTATTCGGTTTTCTGATTTACGATTTTTAGATTTTCGAATTTTGTTTTCCAATTTCTTGGATTTTCGTTTTCTAGAATATTTGATTCATCGACTTTTCACTTTGTTTCCTTTCAGATTTATAGATTTTTCAATTTTTCGATTTTCCAAATTTGCTGGGTTTTTCGATTTTTCAGCTTTTCCATTTTTCGATTTTAGAATTTTCGATTTTTCAACTTTCGATATTTCGTTTTTTCTATATTTCGTTCCTAGAATTTTCGATTTTTAGAAATTTTCACTTTCAAATTTTTTATAATTCGATTTTTTAGATTTTCGAATTTTCTGTTTTCTAATTTCTTGGATTTTCGTTTTCTAGAATATTTAATTCATCCAATTTTCACCTTGTTGCCTTTCCGATTTTTCGATTTTCCAAATTTGCTGGGTTTTTCGATTTTTCAGCTTTTCCATTTTTCGATTTTAGAATTTTCGATTTTTCAACTTTCGATATTTCGTTTTTTCTATATTTCGTTCCTAGAATTTTCGATTTTTAGAAATTTTCACTTTCAAATTTTTTATAATTCGATTTTTTAGATTTTCGAATTTTCTGTTTTCTAATTTCTTGGATTTTCGTTTTCTAGAATATTTAATTCATCCAATTTTCACCTTGTTGCCTTTCCGATTTCTCGATTTTTCAATTTTTCAATTTTTCAATTTTTCAAATTTGCTCTGTTTTTAGATTTTTCAGTTTATCCATTTTTCGATTTACAATTTTTGATTTTTTGGCTTTCGGTATTTTGTTTTTTCTATATTTCGGTTTTTAAATTTTTCAATTTTTCGATATTTTTGTTTATTCAGATTTTTGATTTTCGATTTTTACATTTTCGAATTTTCTATTTTCCAATTTCTTGGAGTTTCATTTTTTTGAATATCTCATTAATGAATTTTCACTCTGTTTCCTTTTCGAGTTCTCGATTTTTCAATATTTTAATTCTTCCATTTCTCAAATTTTCTCGGTTTTTAAATTTTTCAGTTTTTACATTTTTCGAATTTTCGATTTTTAGACTTACTCGAATTTTTTAATTCCGATTTCTCGATTTTTCAGCTTTTCCATTTTTCGACTTTAATTTTACCATTTTAAAATTTTAGATTTTTCAACTTTCGATGTTTCGTTTTCTTTAAATTCCGACTCTTGGATTTTTCGATTTTTCGAAATCTTACCTTTCGAATTTTTGGTTATTCGGTTTTCTGATTTTCGATTTTTAGATTTCCGAATTTTGTTTTCCAATTTCTTGGATTTTCGTTTCCTAGAATATTTAATTCATCGAATTTTCATCTTGTTTCCTTTCCGATTTCTCGATTTTTCAATTTTTCGATTTTTCAAACTTGCTGGGTTTTTCGGTTTTTCAGATTTTCCATTTTTCGATTTTAGAATTTTCGATTTTTCAACTTTCGATATTTCGTTCCTTGGATTTTCGATTTTTCGAAATTTTGACTTTCGAATTTTTTATTATTCGGTTTTTTGGTTTTCGATTCTTAGATTTTCGAATTTTTTGTTTTCCAATTGCTTGGATTTTCGTTTTTTCGAGTATTTGACCAATCGACATTTCACTATGTGTCCTTTTCGCTTTTTCGATTTTTCAATTTTTAAATTCTTCTATTTGTCAAATTTTCTCGGTTTTTCAATTTTTCAGTTTTTCCATTTTTAATTTTTCAATTTTTCGATTTTAGAATTTTCGACTTTTCAACTTTCCATATTGCGTTTTCTCTATATTTTGATTCTTGGATTTTTCGATTTTTCGAAATCTTGCCTATCGAATTTTTGATTATTCGGTTTTTTGATCTTCGATTTTTAGATTTTCGAATTTTCTGTTTTCCAATTTCTTGGATTTTCGTTGTCTAGAATATTTGATTGATCCAATTTTCACCTTGTTTCCTTTCCGATTTCTCGATTTTTCAATTTTTCAATTTTTCAATTTTTTCAAATTTGCTCGGTTTTTCGATTTTTCAGTTTATCCATTTTTCGATTTTAGAATTTGCGATTTTTCGACTTTCGGTATTTTGTTTTTTCTAATCTTGATTTTCGTATTTTTGATTATACGGTTTTTTGATTTTCGATTTTTACATTTTCGAATATTCTGTTTTCCAATTTCTTGGATTTTCGTTTTTTCGAATATTTCATTCATAGAATTTTCACTCTGTTTCCTTTTCGAGTTCTCGATTTTTCAATTTTTCAATTCATCTATTTCTCAAATTTTCTGGATTTTTAGATTTTTCAGTTTTTCCATTTTTCGAATTTTCGATTTTTAGACTTACTCGAATTTTTTAATTCCGATTTCTCGATTTTTCAGCTTTTCCATTTTTCGACTTTAATTTTTCCATTTTAGAATTTTAGATTTTTCAATTTGCGATGATTCGTTTTTTTTATATTTCGACTCTTGGAATTTTCGATTTTTCGAAATCTTACCTTTCGAATTTTTGGTTATTCGGTTTTTTGATTTTCGATTTTAGATTTTCGAATTTTGTTTTCCAATTTCTTGGATTTTCGTTTTCTAGAATATTTGATTCATCGAATTTTCACCTTGTTTCCTTTCAAATTTCCCGATTTTTCAATTTTTCGATTTTTCAAACTTGCTGGGTTTTTCGATTTTTCAGTTTTTCCATTTTTCGATTTTAGAATTTTCGATTTTTCAACTTTCGATATTTCGTTCCTTGGATTTTCGATTTTTCGAAATTTTGACTTTCGAATTTTTTATCATTTGGTTTTTTGGTTTTCGATTCTTAGATTTTCGAATTTTTTGTTTTCCAATTGCTTGGATTTTCGTTTTTTCGAATATTTGACTAATCAAATTTTCATTTTGTGTCCTTCGCTTTTACGATTTTTCAATTTTTAAATTCTTCTGTTTGTCAAATTTTCTTGGCTTTTCGATTTTTCAGTTTTTCCGTTTTTTAGATTTTTCAATTTTTCGATTTCAGAATTTTCTATTTTTCAACTTTCGGTATTTCATTTTTTCTATATTTCGGTTTTTGAATTTTTCGAAATCTTGATTTTCGAATTTTTGATTATTCGGTTTTTTGATTTTCGATTTTTAGTTTTTCAAATTTTCGGTTTTTCAATTTTTGGGATTGTTTTTTCGAATATTTGACTAAACGAATTTTCAATGTTTCCTTTTCGAGTTCTCGATTTTTCAATTTTTTTAATTCTTCTATTTTTCAAATTTTCTCGGTTTTTCGATTTTTCAGTTTTTCCATTTTCGAATTTCCGATTTACTCGAATTTTTTAATTCTGACTTCTCGATTTTTCAGCTTTTCCATTCTTCGACTTTAATTTCTCCATTTTAGAATTTTATATTTTTCAACTTGGGATGTTTTGTTTTCTTTATATTTCGATTCTTGGATTTTTCGATTTTTCGAAATCTTACCTTTCGAATTTTTGGTTATTCGGTTTTCTGATTTTCGATATTTAAATTTTCGAATTTTGTTTTCCAATTTCTTGGATTTTCGTTTTCTAGAATATTTGATTTATCGAATTTTCACCTTGTTTCCAAATTTGCTGGGTTTTTCGATTTTTCAGTTTTTCCATTTTTCGATTTTAGAATTTTCGATTTTTCAACTTTTGATATTTCCTTTTTTCTATATTTCGTTCCTAGGATTTTCGATTTTTCAAAATTTTGCTTTCGAATTTTTTATTATTCGGTTTTTTGGTCTTCGATTTTTAGATTTTCAAATTTTTTGTTTTCCATTTGCTTGGATTTTCGTTTTTTCGAATATTTGACTAATCGAATTTTCACTTTGTGTCCTTTTCGCTTTTCCGATTTTTCAATTTTTAAATTCTTCTGTTTGTCAAATTTTCTCGGTTTTTCGATTTTTCAGTTTTTTCATTTTTAGATTTTTCAATTTTTCGATTTTAGAATTTTCTATTTTTCAACTTTCGGTATTTCGTTTTTTCTATATTTTGGTTTTGAATTTTTCGATTTTTCGAAATCTTGATTTTCGACTTTTTGATTATTCGGTTTTATGATTTTCGATTTTTAGTTTTTCAAATTTTCGGTTTTTGCAGTTTCTTGGATTGTCGTTTTTTCGAATATTTGGCTAAACGAATTTTCAATGTTTCCTTTTCGATTTTTAAAATTTTTCAATTCTTCAGTTTCTCGATTTTTCAATATTTTACTTTTTGATTTTTTGATTTCTGGAGTTTTCGATTTTCGGTACGCGTATTTTCAATCTTTCTACTTTTCCTTTTTTCGACTTTTGATTTTCGAATTTTCGATTTCTCAAATTTTCAGTTCCGTTTTTGAGTTTTTCGTTTTTTCGATTTTCGATTTTTTGACTTTCTTTTTATCGATTTTCGGTTTTTCGGAGTTGCAATTTACGCCACAGGTTTTTACTTTATAGAAAAAAAATCGCAAAATCAAATTTTATATATATTTTTTTATCGGGCTTTACTTCCAGGGCAAGGGAAGTTCTGTCGAAATAACCTACCAATTTTTTTTGTTTTAGATATACAAAATGTATGTTCCTCGAAAATACAAAGGCTACTTGCAGAATTATTTGGGCGATATTGGCATCATAGTCACAACCAAAACTTTCGAACTTTCAGTAGTCGTTCAACCTGTATGTGTTCAATGGGATGCCAAACATCACGAGTTTCTAACAAATCCAACCAAAATAAAAAAGTCCTATGTAAATAACTAAAACTTTAAACCTCTTTGTCTCAATTTAAGATTTTGGGTTTCGTAGGTCAGCGGCTGGGGTTATACCAGCGAGAATAAAAATTCTTCAAAAGTACTTCAATATCTAGAAGTACCTGTCGTCACTGACGAAGTTTGTCACACTAACATACCTGAAGACGAAGAAGAATACATAACTGATGATAAATTCTGCGCTGGTTTCACAAACTCCAGTAACTATCCTTGTTTGATTCTAAATGGTACTTACTTACTGGTTTCAGGTCGTTCTGCCTGCAAAGGTGACAGTGGTGGAGGTTTAGTTTGTAAGTACAACCAACGCTTTTATATCATCGGAATCGTAAGCGTGTCACCAGCGGGTGAAAGCGGTGGCTGTAACAGTCAACATTACACTCTTTATACTAACTTTTCGTACCACATTGAAGACTTTATACTGGAAAAGGAGGCCCGATTTAGACCGTGAGTTGAAACTAGAGTGTTGAACCAGTTAGTACCAGTGCAATTTTAGTTCTGAGAGTAATGTCGATATCGATAATAGGAAGATTCCGGACAACCCACCATTACCACCAACGACAACACAAGTACCTCTAAACCCACATAGCAGGTAAAGAAAAAGAATCCAAGGAGATGTTGCTTTTAATGCACTAGATTTACGCAGGAAGTGCATTTTGCCGAACCATCCAGACTTTGGCAAATGGACAGTTTCTGGTTCTACTAGGGTACTCCAGCCGGGAATGTCAGTCGATGCTGGAACTGACTTAAAGTTGGAATGCAACGAGGGTTTTAAAACAGTTGGTCAAATGGTAGTACACTGTGTAACTAACAGATGGTCGTCTGGTCTCGGTCGATGCTTGAGTACGTACTGTTTTATTTTAAATCAGGATTTTACTTCCTAAGCGTAAACTAAGTATTGTATTTGGATCTATCGGCTCTCCCAAGTCCTGTGTTTTCTTGAATTTTCATGACTCTTAGAATACGAAGAAATAGGTCTCCCGTTTCCGTCTGTCTGTCTGTCTGTCTGTCTGTCTGTCTGTTGTCTGTTTAGATTTCCATTAGAAAGATAATCTTCGAAACTGCTGGACCAACTGTTGCCAAATTTTAAGTGTATATTGAGAATATCATGTAGTTGGTAAAGCGCCAACCAAAAATTGCTTAATCATCCCCACTAACAATTTGATGACGTCGTTTCCAGAATTTACAACAGTAAATATGTTGGTTTTTTCAGTTTTTGAATTTCTTGGTTTCTAATTTTTTGTTTTTTTTTTCATCATTTTTTCTATTTGCGATTTTTCAATTTTGTTATTTTCAAGTTCTTAATTATGTTTCATTTTCCCATTTTTTTGATTTTATATCTTAATTTTTTGTTTCTTCATTTCTTTTATTTTTTCAATGGTTCTTTCGAGTTTATCATTTTTCGTTTGTTTTTCTTCAAATTTTCAATTTTCGATTTTTCAATTTCGCGATTTTCTGATTTTTAAATTTATCAACTTTGCAATTTTTGGATTATTTCTCAATTATTATTCGATTTCTCGATTTCGTTAATTTTCAATATTTCGGTTTTACAATATTTCGTTTTTTGATTTTTCAGTTTTTCGATGTTGAAGTTTCTCAATTTTTAATTTTTCGATTATTAAATTTTTTGTTTCTTCAATTTTCCAAGTTTTTGATTTCCAATTTTTGGATTTTTCAAAGGTTTCATATTATACTTGTTCGTTTTTTCATTTTTAATTTTTCAATTTTACAGTTCCGCAATTTTTCCATGTTTTTTTATTCGAAAAATTGAAAAATCGAAAAACCAAAAAATCGCAAAAAATTGAAAAAATTGAAGAACTGAAGAAACGAAAAATCGAAATTTAAAAAAACTACAAATTGAAAAAATTAATGAATCGAAAAATATGCAAGAGGAAAACCCAAAAAATATAAAATCGAAAAATTATAGAAGCGTCATAACTGTAAAATCGTACAAAAAAATCTAAATTTTTAGATTGTGAAACGTTTTTATTTTTACTTTTTTGTTTTTGCATTTTGGGTTTTTTGGTTACATAATTTTGGAATGTTTCCATTTTTTTTTTGAAAACATTGTAAAATCGAAAAATTACAAATCGAAAAACTAAAAAATCTGAAAAATTCGAAAAATCGAAAAACTTGAAAAACGAAAGTTTGCAAAAAAAATTCGAATGGAGAAATTATGGAATTGACACAATTGTAAAGTCGAAAAATTTAACACTGAGAGACTGAAAAATTAAATATCGAAAATGTTTTAAAATCCAACAATTAAAAAATGGAAAAATTTTAAAATCAAAATATTCAAAAATTTTAAGAATTTAAATTGCTATTAGATGCATATTTAAAATAATATAAATTCAAAATCAAAAATCTAAAAATTGAAAAATTTTACATTAAAAAAGAAAAATTAGAAAATTTGAAAAATAAAGATAATAAAAAACCGAAACGAAAAATTGCAAATCAAAAAATTGTAGAAATAGAAAACTGAAAAATTGGAAAATGAAAACTCAAAGAGATGCGAAACATCGAAAAATCGAAAAATTGTAAAATTAAAAAAAATAAGAAACCGAAACCAAAACTTTCCAATCTAAAATTTGAAGCAATGAAAAAATGAAGAATCTAAAAATTGGAAAATTAAAAATTGGAAAGCTGAAAGATTTTAAATTGAAAAACTGCAAAATCTAAAAATTGAAAAAACAAGAAAAATTGAAAAATTACAAGTCGAAAAACTGAAAAACAAAGAAGAAACAAAGAATTATAAAATCCAAACATTAAAAAATAGAATAATTGAAAAATTAAAAACTGAAAATTCGAAAAATTGCAAATAAAAAATTGAAAACTCGAAAGTTTTAAATCGAAAAATTGAAAAACCTAAAATTTGAAACGTCCAAAAGCTCGAAAATTGTGAAACTGACAAATTTGAAAATGAAACCTCGAAGGGATGCATATTGTATAAATGAAGAAACAATAAGAATGGAAAATTAAAAAACTACAGATAGAAAAATTCAAAAAACGAAAAATTGGATCAATTTCAATTGAAAAAACAAAAAAATCGAGACTGAAAAATCGAAAAATTGTAAAACTAAAGAAAGTAAAAAACCCAAAATCAAAATTTCCAAATCTAAAATTTGTGAAACGAAAAATTAGAGTCTAAAAATTGAAAAATTACAAATAAAAAATTGAAGAACAAAATAAAAAAAATTATAAAATCCAAACATTCAAAAATCGACGAATTGAAAAAATTAAGAAAATAAAAAACGAAAACGCAAAATTGTAAATAGATAAAAAGAAAAATTAAAAATTGAAAACTCGAGAAACTCAAATCGAAAAATTGTAAAATCCATAAATTGAAAATTCAGAAGTTGGAAAATTGAAAAACTGAAAATATTGAACTTGAAAATTCGAATAATTGCGAATTATAAAGTTGAAAAAATAAAAAATTGAAAAATCTAAAAACTGAAAAACAAATAATGAAAACTCGAAAAAAGTAAAATCGAAAAATTGCAAAATCTGAAAATTAAAACATTCAAAAATTGGAAAATCAGAAAACTGAAAAATTTGGAAATAAAGAAGCAACAAGAATGAAAAATTGAAAAAATTGCTATTGAAAAATCAAAAAAATATAAAATCTGAACTTTGAAAAATCGAAAAATTATAAAAATAAAGAAAAAAACCGAAACCAAAACTTCCAAACCCAAATTTGAAGAAATGAAAAATTAAAGAGTCAAAAATTTAACTAACAAGAAAAATGAAAAGATGGGGAATTGCAAATTGAAAAACTGAACAAAACGAAAAATGATAAAATTCGAACATTGATAAACGGAATAATTGAAAAAAATTTAAGAAATAAAAAACCGATACGAAAAGTTGCAACACGAAAAATTGAAAAACTGAAAAATTTAGACTGGAAAATTAAAAAAAGTGCAAATCGGGAAAAGGAAGAAATGAAAAATTGTCTAATTTAAAAATTGAAAAATGAAAAGAAAAACTCGAAAAATTTAAATCGAAAAATTGCAACTCTAAAACTGAAAGTTGGAAAATTGAAACACTGAAAAATTGAAGAAATGAAAAATGAAAATATCTAAAATCTGAAAAATTACAAATTGAAAAATTTCACATTAAAAAGAAAATTTTCAAAATCAGAACAGTGAAAAACCGAAAATTTGAAAAAACAAAGAAAATCAAGACTTCTAAATCCAAAATTTCAAGAAATGAAAAATTAAAGAATATAAGAATTGAAAAATTCAAAATTGGAAACTCGAGACATTTTAAATCAAAAAATTTCAAAATCTAATAATGGAAGAAAAAAGAAAACGGAAAAATTACAAGTCGAATAGCTGAAGAACGAAACAAAAATATATAAAATCCAAACATTGTACAATTCAACTTTTGACTTTTCCAGTCGAAAACTAAAGTTTGAAAAATCTAAAAACTGAAAAATCTACATTGTAAAATTAAAAATTGAAAATTCGAAAAAATGCAAATCAAAAAAATGAAGAATGAAAATTGAAAAATTGGAAAATCTAAAAACTAAAAACTTAAAGATTGAAAACCCGCAAATTTTAAATCGAAAAATTGCAAAACCTAAAAATTTAAATTCCCAAAACTGTAAAATCGGAAAACTGAAAATTTAGAATATGAAAATTTGAAGAGATGCATATATTGTACAAATGAAGAAACAACAAGAATGGAAAATTAAAAAACTGCAGATAGAAAGATTGAAGAAATGAAAAATGGAAAAAATTGAAATTGAAAGAATAAAAAATTCATAAAATCGAAACTTTGAAAAATCGAAAAATTGTAAAAGTAAAGAAAATAAAAAACCGAAAGCAAAACTCCCAAATCCAAAATTTGATGAAATGCAAAATTAAAGAATCAAAACATTGAAAAATTACAAATAGAAAACCTGAAAAACAACAAAAAATTATAAAATCCAAACATGGAAAAATCGGCTAAATGAAAAAATTAAGAAAAAAAAACTGAAACGAAAAATTGTAAATCGGTAAACTGAAAAGTTAAAAATTGAAAACTCGAGGAACTCAAATCGAAAAATTGCAAAATCCAAAAATTGAAAAATTTAGAATTTGGAAAACAGAAAAACTGAAAAATTTAAACTTAAAAATTCGAAAAATTGAAGAAATAAAAAATTGAAAAATCTAAAAATTGAAAAACTAAAAAAAAATTTTAAATCGAAAAATTTAAAAATTTAGAAATTGAAACGTCCGAAAGTTGGAAAATCGAAAAGTAAAAAATTCGGAAATGAAAACTCGAAGAGATTTATTGTATAAATGTAGAAACAACAAGAATGAAAAATTAAAAAATCGCGAATCGAAAAATTAAAGAAACGAAAAATTGACAAAATTGCAATTGAAAAATCAAAAAATTATAAAAATAATGAAAAAAACCGAAACGAAAACTTCCAAATCCAAATTTGAAAAAATGAAAAATTAAAGAGTCAAAAATTTAAGAAACTAGAAAAATGAAAAGATGGGGAATTGCAAATCGAAAAACTGAACAAAATAAAAAATGATAAAATTCGAAGATTGAAAAACGGAGTAATTGAAAAATTTTAGGAAATAAAAAACCGATACGAAAAGTTGCAACTCGAAAAATTGAAAAACTGAAAAATTTAGACTGGAAAATTCGAAAAAGTGCAAATCGGGAAAAGGAAGAAATGAAAAATTGACTAATTTAAGAACTGAAAAATGAAAAGAAAAACTCGAAAAATTTATTCGAAAAATTGTAACTCTAAAAACTGAAAAATTCAGAAGTTGGAAAATTGAAACACTGAAAAATTGAAGAAATGATAAATGAAAATTTCTAAAATCTGAAAAATTACAAATTGAAAAATTTCACATTAAAAAGAAAATTTACAAAATCAGAACAGTGAAAAACCGAAAATTTGAAAAAATAAAGAAAATCAAAACTTCTAAATCCAAAATTTCAAGAAATGAAAAATTAAAGAATCTAAGAATTGAAAAATTCAAAACTGGAAACTCGATGGATTTTAAATGAAAAAAGTGCAAAATCTTAAAATTGAAGAAAAAATAAAAATAAAAACTGAAAAATTGCATGTCGAAAAGCTGAAGAACAAAACAAAAAATAAAAAATATAAAATTCAAACATTGTAAAATTCAACTTTTGATTTTTCTAGTCGAAACCTAGTTTGAAAAATCTAAAAACCGAAAATTCAAAAAAGTGAGGAAACGAAAAATTGAAAAATCTAAAAACTAAAAACTTAAAAATTGAAAACCCGAAAATTCTAAATTGAAAAATGGCAAAACCTAAAAATTTAAATTTTCAAAAACTGGAAAATCGGAAAACTGAAAATTTTGAAAATCAAAATTTGGAGAGATGCGTCATATGGTATAAATGAAGAAACAACAAGAATGGAAAATTAAAAAAACTGCAGATAGAAACATTGAAGAAACGAAAAATTGAAAAAATTGAAACTGAAAGAATAAAAAAATTATAAAATCGAAACATTGAAAAATCGAAAAATTGTAAAAGCAAAGAAAATAAAAAACCGAAAGCAAAACTCCCAAATCCAAAATTTGAAGAAATGCAAAATTAAAGAATCCAAACATTGAAAAATTACAAATAGAAAAACTGAAAAACAACAAAAAATTATAAAATCCAAACATTGAAAAATCGGTTAAATGAAAAAATTAAGAAAATAAAAAACCGAAACGAAAAATTGTAAATCGGTGAACTGAAAAGTTAAAAATTGAAAATTCGAGGAACTCAAATTGAAAAATTGCAAAATCCAAAAATTGAAAAATTTAGAAGTTGAAAAACTGAAAACTGAAATTGGAACTTAAAAAAAATGAAACGTTCGAAAGCTGGAAAATTGAAAAATTTGAAAATGAAAACTCGAAGAGATGCGTATTGTATAAATGAAACAACAACCAGAATGAAAAATTAAAAAGTCCTAAATCGAAAAATTCAAGAAACGAAAAATCGAAGAAATTGAACTTGAAAAATCAAAAAAATTGTAAAATCGGAACATGGAAAAATCTAAAAATGATGAAAAAAAAAATCGAAAACAAAAGTTCCAAATCCAAATCTAAAAATTGAAGATACAAGAAAAATGAAAAGTAGAAGAATTGCAAATTAAAAAACTGAACAAAAGAAAAAATTATTAAATTCTAACATGGAAAAATTGAATAATTGAAAAAATAAAGAAAATAAAAAACCGACACGAAAAGTTGCAATCGAAAAATTGAAAAATTAAAAATTGAAACTCGAGAAACCCAAATCGAAGAATTGAAAAATTCAGAAGTTGGAAAATTGAAAAACTGAAAATTCGAAAAATTGCAAATCGTGAAACTGAAGAAATGAAAGAGTGACAAATCTAAAAACTGAAAAATTAAAACGTAAAATTCCAAAAAAATTAAAGCGAAAAATTGCAAAACCTAAAATCTGAAACGTCCAAAATTTGGAAAATCGGAAGACTAAAAAATTTGAAAATGAAATCTTGAAGACATGCGGATCGTATAAATGAAGAAACAGTAAGAACGAGAACTTAAAAAAATTGCAAATCGGAAAATTGAAGAAACGAAAAATTAAAAAAACTGAAATTGAAGAATCAAAAAAAAATAAAATCGAAAAATTGTAAAAATAAAGAAACTAAAACTTCCAATTCCAAAATTTGAAGAAATCAAAAATTAAGGAATCTAAAAATTGAAAATTTAAAAGAAATTTTAAATTAAAAAATCTCACAATGGAAGAAACAAGAAAAATGAAAAATTGCAGATCGGAAGATTGAATTATAAGACAAAAATATATAAAATCCAAACATTGAAAAATTGAATAATTGAAAAAATTAAAAAAATAGAAAACCGAAACGAAAAACTGCAATTCAAATAACTGAAAAATTAAAAATTGAAAAGTCGACAAATTTTAAATCGAAATATTGCAAAATATAAAAACTGAAGAAACAAAAAATAAAAAATAAATCGCAAATCGAAAAGTTGAAAATTTTAAAATTTAACAAACAAAAAAATTTAAAATCGAAACAATGAAAAATTTAATAACTGAAAAAATAAAGAAAATAAAAAACCGAAACCAAAAATTGCAAATCGGAAATTTGAAGAAATGGAAAATTAAAGAATCGAAAATTTGAAAAACTAAAAATCGGAAAACTTAAAAATCAATAAAAATTAATGAATCGGAAAATTGGAAAGAAAACTCAACGAAGTGAAACGGTAAACTGGAAAACCTAAATGTAGTAACATCGAAAGATTTTAGAATCGTCAATATTGTAAAGCCGAAAAATTGTAACATTGAAAGAGGGAAAAATTGAAAAATTAAATATTGAGAAATTGAAACATTAAATATCGCGAGATTGAAAAATCGAGTAAATGATAAAGTTTTAAAATCCAGTAATTGAAAAATGGAAAAATTCTAAAATCGTAAAATTAAAAAAGTGAAAAATTTTACAAATTATAGTAATTAATTATTAGATACATGTTTAAAATAAAAACTATAAAAATTGCAAATCAAAAATTATTGAAGAAACGAAAAATTGAAGAATTAAAAATTTGGAAAATTGTAAAACTGAAAAATTTAAATTTAAAAATTCGAAAAATTGCAAATCGAAAAACTGAAGGAACAAAAAAATGAAAAACTAAAGAATTGAAAACTGGTTTTTACTTTATAGAGGTTATCAGAAAAAAATATATAGTTTTTCAAAAAGCGAGAATAATTGGGCTGCAGTTCAGGGGCGAGGGAAGTTCTCCTGAAATAATCTTCCACCAATTTCTTTCATCTATTTGTAGAGGTTTGTCCGCCTAGATTTAGTACTCCAACCCTTCAAGTGACATGTACTCACAACAAAAAAGTACTCGACAATTGTACGGAACCATCTGAAGGTACCATCGCCAAGTTCGAGTGTGCACCATTCCACGAAGACCAGCGACTCAAATCAAGACCTATCCATATTTGCCAGAACGGTGAATGGGACCAAGAAATGCCACAATGTCAACCAGGTAACAACATAAAAAACATAAACTTCAATAAAGTCGCGTTTTCAGTGTGCGGTGAGCGGTCGATTAAAAGCAGGTCCATAGCAGTCAATGGAACCCAAAAACGCAGCACAAATTACCCCTGGCACGCATCCATCTACAACTACGGCTTTTACGGCCCTAGACACGCCTTAGTCTGCAGCGGCACGCTCCTAAGCCAGAAAGTCGTCCTAACAGGTACTCAAAAATCTTTATTGACTTTTCAAAAAATTGCGTTTCAGCCGCCCTTTGTGTGACCAAGATGACCGGAGAACTACACACTAAAAAAAATTTCACTGTAGCTGTCGGAAAAATGCACAGGAAGTTCAACGAAAGTGGAGACATTCATGCACAGTTTTCTGGAGTGAGTTTAGCCCAAAACGACGAAACAAGCAACGAAGTACTGTTTTAGGTGAGCGCTATGTTTGTATACGAGCGGTACGAGGGAAATTTGAACCAGTCGCAAAGTCTTTTTGGGAATATTGCTGTTTTGATTATGCAGAAAAGTTTCGATCTTTCGGCAAACGTGTTACCTGTGTGTGTGGACGCTGGGCAGAAATACAAGTACTCTTCTAACCAGTATGCTTACGTAAGACGATTTGGTCGTAGTGATAGTTTTGGTTGAAACTGTGTGTTAATAGCTGAGCAGCTGGGGTATGCTGAATCGCAATAGTTCGGTTGTTATGAAGGAAAAGAAGGTTTCTTTGATGGATTTGTCGACGTGCAGGGATACAATATTGGCGAGTTTTGCACAGTATGTAACTACAGACAAACTGTGTGGTGGTACTGTGGAGACGGGTATGCAACCAGTGGTACTTTTACCAGAAGTTAAAAACATATTTTTTTGCAGGAACTCAATGTAATATAGATTATGGAAGCGGTTTAGTACAGAAACGTGACGGCAGGTACTACATTTTGGGTATCGCCACACTGTCCCCCATGAAAATTGACGATAAAGATTATGAATGCAATGACGACAAGATCACTATTTACACAGACGTATCGAAGTACATCACCAATTTTATCTCAATTTTTATTTTATTTTAAAAATCTAGCTACACTTAAGTATTTAAAATGGAGTTTTAATTAGGTACATAGAAACTCCACATTGTTGGAATTCATCAAAGAATGACACTGTTACTTCCTTGGAACATTATCGATATTTTTTGAAAGTAAATGAGAAGTACCCAAGACCTAACAGACTTGTAATGTCTTTAGATGACCCAGTGAATAAATATGTCTACATATTATTTCTATTTGACTTCCTAAATAATTATATAACTTTAAGAAACCAGACTAAACGTGCAACACGTCCTGAACACTTTGTTTTTAATTTCTATAACTTAACATCAAGTGAATTTGAAGTTTAGATTTTTCTGCTACATTTAACTACTCTTTGTTTAATTGTTATTTCCTGAACGTATGCTAAGGAAGTATTGTAATCGCTAACCCAAATTTCGGATAAACATTCCCACCAACAATAGGATGACGTCATGTCCAAAGTTTACATTGTCAAATATTATTTCAATTTTATAAAATAAAATAACCTACAATATGTCGTTTATGAATCCGTGTTCAGTTTTTACCCTTGACATCCAGATTTTTGAAAAAAAAATCAAAATTATATAACATTTTACAATTTAACTGTGAAACTTAACAATCGAAAAAAATTAATGAATCGAAAAATTGGAAAGAAGAAAAAACGAAGCGAATCTCAAAAATTGTCAGCTCGAAAAATTATGGAATCGTCAAAATTGTAAAGTCGAAAAACTGTAACACTGAAAAACCGAAAAATTGAAAAATTAAATATCGAGAAGTTTCAAAATAAAAAATCGACAAATTAAAAATCGAAAAATTGAAAAATCGAATTAATGAAAAAGTTTCTCAAATCCACGTAAAATCTAAGCCCCGCCCACCCACCCTCTCTCATTTGTGACGATTTTTCTTTATTCGTTGTGAGCAAGGAGGCGGAGCTTAATTGCAAAATCCTTATTTTCATACGAGAAATTACCATTTGAAATATGTTATAAGTAAAAAAGAAAGCTAAAATTAAGCTCCGCCCCTCGGGTCACGACGAATAAGAAAATTCATCACAATTGACGAAAGGAAAAACTGAAAAATCTAAAAGTTTAAAAAATCAAAAATTGCGAGTCGAAAATCCAGACTTTGGAAAATTGAAAAACTTTTTCAGTATTTGGGTTCTACAATATTTCGCCTTTTGATTCTCGATGTTTAAGTTTCTCAATTTTTTATCTTACGATTATTCAGTTTTTTGTTTTTTCAATTGTCCAAGTTTTTGATTTCCGATTTTTAGATTTTTCAATGTTTTCATTTATACTTTTTCGGTTTTTCATTTTTGAATTTCAATTTTACAATTTTGAAATTTTTCTATTTTTTTATTCGAAAAGTTGAAAAACCGAGAAATTAAAAATCGAAAAACTAAAAAATCGGAAAAAACTAAAAAATCGAAAGCTGAAAAAACGATGAATTGTAAATTGTAAAATCGAAAAATTGCAAATCGGATACCCGAAGAAACGCAAAATTAAAATATTGAAAAACTAAAAACGGAAGAAACTTAACAATCGAAAAAAATTTATGATTCGAAAAATTGGAAAGAAGAAAAAACGAATCGATTCCCAAAAATTGTCAGATCGAGAAATTATGGAATCGTTAAAATTGTAAAGTCGAAAAACTCAAAGACTGAATGATCGAAAAATTGAAAAATTAAATATCGAGAAGTTCCAAAATAAAAAATCGAAAAATTAAAAATCGAATAATTGAAAAATCGAATTAATGAAAAAATTTCTCAAACCTAAGTAAAATCGTAAGCCCCGCCCACCCACCCTCTCTCATTTGTGACTATTTTTCTTTATTCGTTATGAGCAAGGGGGCGGAGCTTAATTGCAAAATCCTTATTTTTATACGAGAAATTACCATTTAAAACATGTTTTAAGTAAAAAAGAAAGCCAAAATTAAGCTCCGCCCCTCGGCTCACGACGAATAAGAAAATTCATCATAATTGAAATGAGGGCGGGTGGGTGGGGTTTGTATTGCATTGTATATGGAAAAATTCTATAATCCTAAAATTGAAACACCTTTAAAATGAGAACTAAAGAAAATTGCAAATCAAAAATTGACGAAAGGAAAAATTGAATAACCTAAAAGTCCAAAAAACTAAAAATTACGAATCGAAAATCCAGACGTTGGAGAATTGAAAATCTTTTTCAGTATTTGGGTTCTCCAATATTTCGCCTTTTGATTTTATAGTTTTTCGATGTTTAAGTTTCTCAATTTTTAATCTCTTTCATTTATACTTTTTCGGTTTCTTATTTTTGATTTTTCAAAACAATTACAATTTTGAAATTTTTTTCATTTTTTTTATTCGAAAAGTTGAAAAACCGAGAAATTAAAAATTGAAAAACTAAAAAATCGGGAAAATTGAAAAATCGAAAAGTAAAAAAACGATAAATTGTAAGTTGTAAAATCGAAAAATTGCAAATCGAATATCCGAAGAAACGCAAAATTAAAATATTGAAAAACTAAAAACGGAGAAACTTAACAATCGAAAAAAATTAATATGAATCGAAAAATTTGAAAGAAGAAAAAACGTAATTGTAAGAATTGAAAAATAATGGAATCGTCAAAATAGTAAATTCGAAAAACTGTGACACAGAAAGACCGAAAAATTGAAAAAATAAGTATCGAGAAGTTCCAAAGTAAAAAATCGAAAAAATGAAACATGGAATTATTGAAAAAGTTTCTCAAACTCAAGTAAAATTACAAGCTCCGCCCTCTCTCATTTGTGACGATTTTTCTTTATTCGTTGTGTGCAAGGAGGCGGAGCTTAATTGCAAAATCCTTATTTTTCCATGAGAAATTACAATTTGAAACATATTCTTAAGTAAACGTGTTTTCAAAGAAAATTTTTTTAATTCTGCTCACGACGAATAAGAAAATTCATCACAATTGACATGAGGGCGGGTGGGCGGGGTTTGTATTTTATTGTATATGTATATATTCTATAATCCTAAAATTAAAAAAGTGAAAAATTTTAAAAATTATTTTCAAATTGAAAAATTAAAAATCGAATAAATGAAAAAGTTTTAGAATTCAATAATTGAAAAATGAAAATCTTATAAAATCGTAAAATTGAAAACTAACTTTAAAAATTAGAATTATCATTAAATACAAACTTAAGATGAAAACTAGAAAAATTGCAAATCAAAAAGTGAAGAAACGAAAAACTAAAAAAAATAAAAGTTGAAAAATCGAAAAATTGAAACTTTCAAAAACTGAAAAATTTCACATTGAAAATAGAAAAAAAAATCAGAACACTGAGAAACAGAAAATTTGAAAAAATAAAAAAAAATAAAAAAGCAAAACGAAAAATTGCAAAACAAAAAATTGAAGAAAAATATAATTGAAAAATCTCATAACTGAAAAATTTGGAAGAGAAAACCCGATGCGGATCGTATAAATCTAAAAACAATGAAAAATAAAAAAAACTTAAACTGAAAAACAAAAAAATTGTAAAACTGGAACAATAAAAAAACGAAAAATTGTAAAAATAAAGAAAATAAAAAGCCTAAATCTAAACTTCCAACAAAAATTTGAAAAAATAAAAATTAAAGAATCTAAAAATTGAAAAATTAAAATTGAAAACTCCAGAAATTTTAAATCGAAAAATTGCTAAAGCTAAAAATTGACGAAATAAGAAAAATTAAAAATTTTCAAATTGCAAATCGAAAACTGAAGAACAAAACGAAAATTTAAATAATTGAAAAAATCAAGAAAGTAATAAACCGAAACGAAAAATTGCAAATTGAAAATTTGAGGAAATGAAAAATTAAAGAATCGAAAAATTGAAAAATTAAAAACTTAGAAAATTGAAAAACTAAAAAATTTTGTTGGATTTTGTTTTCATTTGATAATATAAATATATCACATTTATAGTGAATTTTTGTCTAAAATGTTAAATTTTTTAAACAAAAAGTGTTAAGTTATTTATTATTGCTCACAAATCTAGCTGAGTTTAAAAAATTAAAACCTATTGTATAAAAATAATAAAATTGTATATTATATAATTTTGGCGAAGTGTTGTAAAACTGTACGACCTACCATGACCTTATTACCAAAATTGCTGTCATTACATAATTCGGAAAAACCGGTCTCAGAACCTTGTAATCAAAAATACTGATATCACGAATAACTGTTTGGATGCTACAAAAATGTTGTAGAATTCAATTTTTTAGGTTATTAAATGGTATCACGAGATATCCCGTCGCCTCCTGATCCTCTGTCGTTGACCGAGCGCTCACGATCTAGTACGAAAAGTACCATAATTGGCTCTTCCGTTGAGCTTTCATCCTGTACAGCGGTACTTCCAACACTAAAAGTTTAAAAGAAACTCAATCAACAATGAGTTAGAGAAAATGATATTGTCATCTAATAGCTTGACCTCATGTACAAGTTATCAGTCTTGAAAATATCCTCGTGTTATGTCAACAATTTTTTCGATAGTGCGTTGAAATTAAATATGTATAAACTTATAGATCAAATAAAGTACGAAACGACGATGACGAGTACCCTCCACTTTACACTGAAAGTTATAATTTGGCATATTTTGAGTAAGTTAATACAATATTCCTGTGTTAGACTGACTGGTACTACCGTCGCTTTTAATTGAAAAATTTTCTTTCAGTAAATTGTTGTACCTGTAGCAACTCAAGGTAACGTTGCACTATATAATTGTTCTTGTGACAACTGCAGACATTTTTTGACCAGTTGTAGTCTTCCACAACACCCAGAATTCGGTCGATGGACAATCTACGACGCTTCCTCCGAGTTGTCGATTGGGAAGTCAGTACCGGAACGAACAATCTTAGAAATACGTTGCAACAAGAATTATAGACTAGACGGTGATGATTCCACTACTTGTTTCCGAGGGACGTGGAAACCCCAAATTGGACAATGTTTACGTAACACTTTCCCATATTGGAAAATTTTTCTTGAAAAAAGTTTTCAGGGACGTGCCCCACCATAAACAGCACTTTGGCAATGACAGTAACTTGCACCCATAACCACCAAACACTGGAATCTTGTGCTAATGTTTTTGATAGCACAACTGCGTACTTTCATTGTGCTCGCTATTTCGAGTTCCAGACTCCGGGGGAAGTACCGTCTCGACTGTGCTCCAACGGGAACTGGGTTGGGAGTTTACCTACCTGCGTACCCAGTAAGTAAGATTATTTCAAACTTTTTTCTGGAACCAGCTCGTATTCTGCAAATTTTAGGATAAATTGTCAAGTTGACTGTGTGGTGTTAGTACTTTGGTTATTTTTAGTATGCGGCCAACCGTCGCCTGTAGTAGATCCTACACTAATTACGGGAGGGACGAGAGCAGAAAGGGGTAAATATCCATGGCAGATCGCTTTATACAACGCCAAGAGCAAAATTTTGCTTTGTGGTGGGACGCTGCTGAATCAAAGAGTCGTGTCAACAGGTACAGTCACGTAAAAAATCGATTAAATATGTCATGATAACGTTGCAGCGGCACACTGCATAACAGATAATGGGGGACACCTAGAACCAAAAGAGAACTATATAGTGGCAGCTGGAAAGTACTTTCGACAGTACGATCATCCTGACGATGCAGCAGTGGCGCAGTTTTCTCCCGTATGACAAAAAAAAAAAAATAACAAAGGGAAAATTAGTTCGGTTCCACATCAGTTGGCGTTTTATTAAAGTGACGGCTGACATGTTTCGGAACTACTGGTACCATCATCAGAGCTAAATGATGAACAGGAATTAACTTACAAAAAGATTAAAGGTAATGCACTTACCCAAAGTACAAAACTTAGAGATTACATATTTAAACAAATTGGGAGATGCTGTTGACAGCAACCTCAAGGTCTAACTCTGAAATGAAGGAACAAGACAAAAATACAAAAGTAAATTAAAGACATGTACCGAACTAAAAAACTTATTGGCGCCATCTATCAAATATTCTAGAATAAAAAAAATGTAACAGATGTCATCTATCGAATGTTCTACTCGTACAAATATTCAGTTTAAAAATGTCTAGTTATTATTAAAAAATTGGTGGAAAGTTATTTCTACTGAACTTCCCTCGCTTCTGAAGTATAGTGTAACCAATACTGCTACTGCTCCTTCAGAAGGTTTCACATTCTTGAAAAAAGACAGTTTCTCGATTTGCAATTTTTTGCACTTTCAGGTTTATATTTTTCAATTTTTCAACTTAAAATTTCTCGAGTTTTCAATTTTTAATTTTTCAATTTTTCGATTCTTTGGGTTTTCCAATGTTGCGATTTTATAATTGTTTTTCTATTTCAATTTTTTTATTCAGTTTTTTACTTTTTTGTTTTTTCGAAATTCCAGTTTTTCAAAGTTTTGATTTTCAATTTTTCTTTTTCAGTGTGAAATTTTTCAGTTTTTCGATTTGCAACTTCTTGGTTTTTCAACTTTTAGATTCTTTAATTTTTCGTTTTTTCAATTTTAGATTTCTGTTTCTCGATTTTTCAATTATTCATTTCTGTAATTTTTAATTTGCAATTTTTCTAGTTTTCGTTTTAAATATGTAATAATAATCATAATTTTTCCATTTCTGAACATTTAATTTTTCAATTTTTCGATGTTGTTTTTCGATTTTACAACTTTGCCGATTTCAGAATTTTCCGATTTTACAATTTTTGGATTTTCCAATTTTTCGGTTCGATTCATTTTTTCTTCTTTCGAATTTTTTGATTTTTAAGTTTCTCGATTTTTAGTTTTTCAATGTTTCAATTTTTCGTTTCTTCAATTCTTCCGTTTGCAATTTTTCGATTTGGCTATTTTTCTTTTCTTCAGTTTTTCGAATTTTCAATTTTTCCGATGTTTTAGCTTCTCGGTTTTTCAATTTTTCGATTTTTCAATTTCTTAGTTTTGCGATTTTTCAAAAATTTTCCAAAAAAGTGGTTAAAATTCCCTGTTCAATCAGCAGAAAATTGGCGTCAAATTGTGGATAATCCTCCGTCCGGTTACAAATCAGAAACCGCCGTTGCGATATCTGTTCCAATAAATCCGAAAAGTGAAATAAAAATTTTCCAAAATTTTCCAAAAAAAAAAAAACGGTTAAAATTAGTTGTTTCGACCGAATTTTGATGTCAAATCTTAGATAATCTTCTACTTTTAACAAATCTGATATCGGCGTCAGGATATTTGTTAGAGTAAACACGAAAAATGAGTTCAAAGTTTTCAGAAATTTTCCAAAAAATCAGGTAAAATTGGTTCAGTCGACCGAAAATTGGTGTCAAATTGTACATAATCTTCCACTAGTTACAAATTCGAAATTGCCTTCAAGACATATGTCGAAACAAAGATAATACCTATATGGTTTCAAAATTTTCAAAAATTTTCCAAAAAAAATTGTTAAAATTGGTTCAATCGACCGAAAATTGCTGTCAAATTGTGGATAATTTTCCGCCTGTTAGTTTATAAAACTGAAATCGCTGTTGCTATAACTAGTTCCATAAGCACAAAAAGTAAGTCAAAAATTTTCAAAAATCATCCAAAAAATGGTTAAAATTTGTTCAGGCGACCGAAAACTGGTGTCAATTGTAACTTGTCTTAAAGACATATGTTGAAATAAAGATCATACATATATGGTGCCAAAATTTTCAAAAATTTTCCAAAAACATGGTTTAAATTGGTTCAATGGATTGAAAATAGGTGTCAAATTGTAGATAAACCTCTGCCATCTACAAATCTGATACCATCATCACGATATCTCTTTCAATAAATACGCTAAATGAATTAAACATTTTCAAAAATTTTCCAAAAAAAATGGTTAAAATAGGTTCAATCAACCGAAAATTGGTGCGAAATTTTAGATAATCTTCTGCCAATTACACATCCGAAGTCGCGGTCACGATATTTGCTCCGATAAACATGAAAAGTGAATTCAAAATTTTCAAATAATTTAAACAAAAATGTTTAAAATGGGTCCAATCTACCGAAAATTGGTGTTAAATTATTGATAATTTTCCGACAGTTACAAAACTAAAATCACCGTTGCGATAACTGGTTCGATAAACACAAAAAGAAAGTCAAAAATTTTCCAAGAAAAAAAAATGATTAAAATTTGTGCAAGACACCGAAAATTGGTGTCGAATTGTACATAATCTTCCACTAGTTACAAATTCGAAATCGCGTTCAAAACATGTTGAAATAAAGATACCTTTATGGTTTCAAAATTTTCAAAATTTTTCAAAAAAAATTGTTAAAATTGATTCAATCGACCGAAAATTGGTGTCAAATTGTGGATAATTTTCCGCCTGTTGCTGTACAAAACTGAAACCGCTGTGCGATAACTGGTTCGATAAACACAAAACACAGTCAAAATTTTCAAAAATCATCCAAAAATATGGTTAAAATTTGCTTAGGCGACCGAAAATTGGTGCCAAATTGTAGATAAACCTCTGGCATTTGCAAATCTGATACCGCCATCACGATATCTCTTTCAATAAATACGCTAAATGCATTAAACATTTTCAAAAATTTTCCAAAAAAATTGTTAAAATTGGTTCAATCAACCGAAAATTGGTGCGAAATTTTAGATAATCTTCTGCCAATTACAAATCCGAAGTCGTGGTGACGATATTTGCTCCGATAAACATAAAAAGTAAATTCAAAATTTTCAAATAATTAAAAAAAATGGCTAAAATGGGTCCAATCTACCGAAAATTGGTGTCAAATTGTATATAATTTACCGCTAGTAACAAATCCGAAATTGCCTTTACGACCTATGTGGACATAATGGTAATATTTGGTTACAAAATTTTCTAAAATTTTCCAAAAAAATAGTTAAAATTGGTTCAATCGATCAAAAATTGGTGTCAAATTGTAGATAAATTTCCTCCAGTTACAAATCTGAAATTGCCGTCACGATACCTGTTTTAATAAACACGAAAAGTGAATTCAAAATTTTCAGTAACTTTCCAAAAAAATGGTTAAAATTAGTTGAATCGACCGAAAATTAGTGTCAAATTGTAGATAATCATCCGCCAGTAATAAACCTGAAATCGCTGTTACGGTATCTGTTCCAACAAACACGAAAAGTGAATTCAAAATTTTGAAAAATTTTTCAAAAAAAAATGGTTAAAATTTATTCAATCGAGCGGAAATTGCTGTAGATAATTTTCCGCCAGTTACAAAACTGAAATCGTCCTTGCGGAAACTGTTCCATTAACACAAAAATTGAGTTCAAAATTTACCGAAATTTTTTAAAAATATGGTTAAAATTTGTTCAATCGACCGAAAATTGGTGTCAAATTGTAGATAATCTTCTGCCAATTACACATCCGAAGTCGCGGTCACGATATTTGCTCCGATAAACATGAAAAGTGAATTCAAAATTTTCAAATAATTTAAACAAAAATGTTTAAAATGGGTCCAATCTACCGAAAATTGGTGTTAAATTATTGATAATTTTCCGACAGTTACAAAACTAAAATCACCGTTGCGATAACTGGTTCGATAAACACAAAAAGAAAGTCAAAAATTTTCCAAGAAAAAAAAATGATTAAAATTTGTGCAAGACACCGAAAATTGGTGTCGAATTGTACATAATCTTCCACTAGTTACAAATTCGAAATCGCGTTCAAAACATGTTGAAATAAAGATACCTTTATGGTTTCAAAATTTTCAAAATTTTTCAAAAAAAATTGTTAAAATTGATTCAATCGACCGAAAATTGGTGTCAAATTGTGGATAATTTTCCGCCTGTTGCTGTACAAAACTGAAACCGCTGTGCGATAACTGGTTCGATAAACACAAAACACAGTCAAAATTTTCAAAAATCATCCAAAAATATGGTTAAAATTTGCTTAGGCGACCGAAAATTGGTGCCAAATTGTAGATAAACCTCTGGCATTTGCAAATCTGATACCGCCATCACGATATCTCTTTCAATAAATACGCTAAATGCATTAAACATTTTCAAAAATTTTCCAAAAAAATTGTTAAAATTGGTTCAATCAACCGAAAATTGGTGCGAAATTTTAGATAATCTTCTGCCAATTACAAATCCGAAGTCGTGGTGACGATATTTGCTCCGATAAACATAAAAAGTAAATTCAAAATTTTCAAATAATTAAAAAAAATGGCTAAAATGGGTCCAATCTACCGAAAATTGGTGTCAAATTGTATATAATTTACCGCTAGTAACAAATCCGAAATTGCCTTTACGACCTATGTGGACATAATGGTAATATTTGGTTACAAAATTTTCTAAAATTTTCCAAAAAAATAGTTAAAATTGGTTCAATCGATCAAAAATTGGTGTCAAATTGTAGATAAATTTCCTCCAGTTACAAATCTGAAATTGCCGTCACGATACCTGTTTTAATAAACACGAAAAGTGAATTCAAAATTTTCAGTAACTTTCCAAAAAAATGGTTAAAATTAGTTGAATCGACCGAAAATTAGTGTCAAATTGTAGATAATCATCCGCCAGTAATAAACCTGAAATCGCTGTTACGGTATCTGTTCCAACAAACACGAAAAGTGAATTCAAAATTTTGAAAAATTTTTCAAAAAAAAATGGTTAAAATTTATTCAATCGAGCGGAAATTGCTGTAGATAATTTTCCGCCAGTTACAAAACTGAAATCGTCCTTGCGGAAACTGTTCCATTAACACAAAAATTGAGTTCAAAATTTACCGAAATTTTTTAAAAATATGGTTAAAATTTGTTCAATCGACCGAAAATTGGTGTCAAATTGTAGATAATCTTACGCCGGTTACAACTCCGAAATCGTCTTCACGATATCTATTGAAATACCGGCAATGTATGATTCCAAAGTTTTCAATAATTTTCAAAATGGGTAAAATGGGTTCATTCAACCCAGAATTGGTGTCAAATTGTACCTAATCATCCGCTAGTTATAAATCTGAAATCACCGTTACGATATCTGCTCTAATAAACATGTAAAGTGAATTCAAAGTTTTCCAAAAAAATTATTACGATATCTGTTCCAATAAGCACGAAAAGTGAATTCAAAATTTTCAAAAAATTTCCAAAAATATGGTTAAAATTTGTTCAATCGACCGAAATTTGTGTCAAATTGTAGACAATTTTCCGCCGGTTACAAATCTGAAATCGCCTTCATGACATCTTATGAAATACCGGCAATGTATGGTTTTAAATTTTTCAAAAATTTTCCAGAGACATGGCTAAAATGGGTTCATTCGATTTAGAATTGGTGTCAAATTGTACATAATCATCCGCTAGTTATAAATCTGAAATCGCCGTTACGATATCTGTTCCAATAAGCACGAAAAGTGAATTCAAAATTTTCAAAAAATTTCCAAAAATATGGTTAAAAGTTGTTCAATCGACCGAAAATTGGTGTTAAATTGTAGATAATCTTATGCCTGTTACAAATCCGAAATCGCTTTCACAACGTCTATTGAAATACCGGCAATATTTGGTTCTAAAATTTTTAAAAATTTGCCAGAAACATGGTTAAAATGGGTTCATTCGACCCAGAATTGGTGTCAAATTGTACATAATCATTCGCTAGTTATAAATCTGAAATCATCGTTACGATATCTGTTCCAATAAGCACGAAAAGTGAATTCAAAATTTTCAAAAAATTTCCAAAAATATGGTTAAAATTTGTTCAATCGACCGAAAATTGGTGTCAAATTGTAGATAATTTTCCACCGGTTACAAATCCGAAATTGCCGTTACGATTTTTGTTCCAACAAACACGAAAAGTGAAATTAAAATTTTCGAGAATTTTCCAAAAAAAAAAAAGGTTAAAATTGGTTCAAGCGACCGAAAATTGGGGTCAAATTGTAGATAATGTTTCGGCATTTACAGATCTGAAATCGCTGTTACAATTTTTGTTCCAACAAACACGAAAATTGCAATAAAAAATTTTCAATAATTTTCCAAAAAAAAAAATGGTTAAAATTGGTGCAATTGACCGAAAATTGATATCAAATTGTAAATAATCCTCTGCCAGTTACACATCTGAAACAGTGGTCACGATATTTGTTTCAGTAAATAATTACGATGAGTGAATTCAAAATTTAGAAAAAATCCAAAAAAATATTGTTAAAATTGGTTGGTCTGAAATTTTAGATAATCTTCCGCCAATTACAAATCTGAAATGGTCGTCACGATAACTGTTCCATTAAACACGAAACGTGAATTCAAAATTTTCAAATAATTTTCCAAAAAAAATGTTAAAATTGGTTCAAGCGACCGAAAATTGGTGTCAAATTGTATATAATCTTCCGCTAGATGCAAATCCGAAATTGCCTTTACGACATATTTGGAAATAATAGTAATATTTGGTTCCAAAATTATCTAAAATTTTCCAAAAAAAATAGCTAAAATTGATTCAATCGACCGAAAATTGGTGTCAAATTGTAAATAATTTTCAGCCAGTTGCGTATTTGAAACCGCCCTCACGACACCTGTTCCAATAAACACCAAAGTAAAGTCAAAATTTTCAAAAATTTTTTAAAATTGGTTTAAGTCACCAAAAATTGGTGTCAAATTGTAAATAATCTTCCGCCGCTTACAAATCCGAAATCGCCTTCACTACATCTATTGAAAAACCGACAAAATATTCAAAAATTTTCCAAACAAATGGCTAAAATGGGTTAAATCGAGCCAGAATTGGTGTTAAATAGTAAACAATTTTGCACCACTTACAAATCTGTTATCGCCGTCACGATATCTGTTCCAATAAACACGAAACATTAATTCAAAATTTCCAAAAATCATTTATCGAAGAAGCTGAAAACAAAATCCCTGATGTTATTATCAAGGAAAGAAAATTCAAGTAACAGTTCAAGGAGGAAATCAAAACCTTGACCTTGAAATTGCTCTCACCAGCATTTCTCAGCTCTGATGATGACACCAATAGGTACCGAAACCGCTCGGTCGTCACTCAATTAAAACCGTAACTCACGTGGCGCCAACCTAATTCACCCATCCACCAACTCCTAGTTTTAATTAACTTTTAGATACTTGAAATGTTCATTCCGTTTCATTACAAAGGCCACGCTCGAAATTTTGCCGGGGACATTGCTCTTATAGTCACGACAAAAATCTTCGACTTGACCATCAACGTTCGACCCATATGTGTGATATGGGACACCACACGCTGTAAAGCGCTTTTAGACCCCACGAAAACAAAAAGTGCCTATGTATATAACCATAACTGGTACCTATTTGAAATCAGGCTTTCAGTTTCTTGTAGGTCAGCGGTTGGGGTTATACTCGCGAGTTCACAGACCCTTCCGATGTTCTTAAAGAATTAGAACTTCCACTCATCAGCGACGAAAAGTGCATCGAGGAACTACCCGAAGACGATATAGAATATGTGACTGACGATAAGTTTTGTGCTGGCTTTTTAAACTCTAGTAAATTTTTCGGTTTCTTGGAACTATGACCCATGATGAAATTTTAGACACTTCGGTGTGTAAAGGCGATAGTGGTGGAGGTTTGGTGGTGAAACTCGACAGACGGTACTACATTATTGGAATTGTGAGTCTTTCACCTCGAGGGGGGACACAACATGGTGGCTGTAACAGCCAACTATACACTCTTTATACTAAATTTTCCACGTACGTTGAAGACTTTGTCAGGAAAAAAGAAGCCCAATTTAGACCGTAATTTGACACTTATTGTTACACTTTTGATCTATTTTCCCAATTGTAGTCGTTTTGATTGTCAAGTTATTTCTGACTGTAACAACGTTAGTAACGTTACACTGACCACAGAATCTCCAGTAGTTACAACAACGACTACAAAAACGCCCAAAGGGTAAAACCTGTCTGCCAAGGTTACAAATTTTTTGTGTACAACGGTTTTACTTTAAGTAGACGCTGCATTTTACCGAATCATCCAGAATTTGGTGAGTGGAACATTACCGAATCGAAAGGACTTGAACCTGGAATGTCAGTGAAACGAGGAATTCGTCTAAGGGTAAAATGCCATAAACATTTCAAATACGCTGGACGACGAAAAATATATTGCAAAAAGGGCAAATGGACATCGGTGATTGGACAATGTTTAAGTACGTACGTGTATTTCTTCCACTAAAGATTAAAATTAATTGTCTCGTAGAAGTATGTCCACCTATACTTAGCACACCAATTATGCAAGTCACCTGTTCCTATAAAGGCAAAGAAATCGAAAATTGTACTCGAGCTGTGGAAGGCACCACTGCCAAGTTTCAGTGTGGCGACCTTTACGAAGACGTGCAGTTGAAAACTAGATCCGTTAACATCTGCACTGGTGGGGTATGGAGTCAGCCAAATCCTCAGTGTGTACCAGGTTAGCACATATAGTTTCATGTTGTACTCAGTGTTGGGCAGTATCTAGATACTTGAGTATCTAGTATCGGTATCTAGATAAAATCGAATTTAAGCACAAAATATCTGTATCTAGATACAAAATTAATGGCGCGGATACAGATACATTTTTTTATTTCACTTTTTTTTCAGTAGTTATTAGTTGAGTTATACTAGTAGTAATTTTTGATACTTCATGTTGGTGATTTTGGTCACATAAACAAAAATAGAGATAAGAGGTCCACTAATAGTGTTCTGCCACGGAAATTTTCATATTTTAAATACCATCATTTCCTACATTGTAGCCTTCAGTACTTATACATCTTTAAATATAATCTTGAGGGGTAATAAATCTAAGCTAGGTAAGGTGGTATTTTAAAAACCATAAACCACAATTCACTAATCACTGCGTTTTACCCTTATCGGGGCAATGCATTTTATCTGTGTACCTGAGCAACCCGGGTCCGGTAGGCCCGCTGGTTGTATTTGTGTTATCTTAAATAAGAGTAATTAATCAATTAATTAATTAAATAATAATTGCGTGTTACATAATGATTAATTTTTTCAATTAGCACAAATTAGTTCTGTAATCGACTAATCGACCGTTTTAAACGAAAAAAATCGGTAAACCGAAAAATTGAAAAATCTAAAAATCGAGAAATTGAACAATCTAAAAATTAAACAATTTAAAAATCGAAAAATTGGAAAACCAAAAAATCTAAACCGAGAACTTGAAAAATCGAATAATCGAGAAATCAAAACATCAAGGAAAACAAAAAAATCAACGGAAAATCTAGAACTTAAAAATTGAAAAATTAAAATACCTATCGAAAAATTGAAAACCCAAGAAATCGAAACATCAAAAAATGGAAAAATTGAAGAACCGAAACATTGCAAAATTCCAGAACTGAAATACTGAAAAACTGAAAAATGGAAGTGAAATTGAAAAATCGAAAAAGTGAAAAAATTCAAAACTGAAACATTGAAAAATTAATAAATCGAAAAATTGAAAAATCACAATTGAAGAAAGAATTGAAAAATCGAGAAATAGAGAAATGGGAAAATCAAAAAATCAGTTAACCGAAAAATTTAGAAACGTCAAAAATTGAAAACTGAAAAATAAAAAAAAATAAAAATCGTAAAACTGAAACATCGGAAAATTGAGAAATCGAAAAATGAAGAAATTGGATAAAACCGAAAATATGAAGAATTGAGAAATCGAAGAATCGATAAATTGAAAAATCCCGACAGTAATATGTCGAAAAATTGAGAAATCGAAATCGAGCAAAACTAAAGTATAGTAAAGTTAATAAATTGAAAAACTGAAAATTTTTGAAAAAAAATCGTATCAAAAACTAAACATTAAAAAAATCGAGAAATTGAACAATCAAAAAATCAAAACATTGAAATCCCAGTAAGTTGATAAATAGGAAAATTTAAAAAACAAAAATTTTAAAAATTCAAGAATTGAACAACACAAAAATCTAAGCCTGAAAACTCAGAAAATCGAATGATCGAGAACTCAAAATATCAAAGAAAACAAAAAATCTAAAATTTAAAAATTCGACAAATTGAAAAATCATAGAACTGAAAAATCGAAAAGTCGAGATAGTGAGAAATCTAAAAACCTAAAACTTTAAAAAGTGAAAAATTAAAATATCGAAAAATTAAGAACCGAGAAAACACAATTTCAAAAATTTGAAAAATTGAAGAAACGAAATATTGCAAAATTCCAAAGCTGAAATATTGAAAAGCCTAAAATGGAAGGAAAATTAAAGAATCGAAACAGTGAAAAAATCCCAAACTGAAACATTGAAAAATTGAGAAATGGAGAAATGGGAAAATAAAAAAAATTGGTCTAAAGAGTTTAGACAGTACTTCCCTTGCTATCGGAAACGTGACGACTGCATGCCTATTATGTTTTTTTTTCACATTAGATTTCAAAGCATTCGGTTTTGTAGTTCCCGATTAAATCAATAAAATAAATTTTTTGAGTCACCCTATATATCCGAGTCCAAAAAATATGAATGGGATGATAAATTACAAGAAGAGACTCATCATACTTTGTACATTTTAGATAGGATTTATTCAGCAAAATTTTGAGGTGACGTCATCAATTTTTTAGAGGGGGGTAAGTAAATATATTGTGATTAAAACGGTCGTGGTTTAATAACAAAAAAATATTGTTCGTCTATGAAACAAGCTCGTCTTAGACAAAGTATTCGTAAAAAAATATGTCGTAAAAAATGTACGTATGCTGGTCCCGACTGCGATTATGGTTTAAATATTTTTTAGATAACCCTGACATGGATGTAGAAATATTTGTGACAGCCAAAGAGGTTTTTTGAGAAAATTATCTTTGAATTTAGACCAAATTGAAATAGACACTAGGCAACAGGCTCATTTGGGCAAAAGAAAGAGAAATTAGGGTTACAGCTAAAACTGTGGAGTGTCTGTTGTACAGTACATTTAGAGGTAATAATCATACATACTATGGACAACAAAGTGAGGAAAAAGCTGTCAAGTGTTTTGAAATAAATAAAAGTATAAAAACTGAATTTGTCTCCCGAAGAGGCGGTTAGAAAAAAAATAATCAAATTTTGTACATTGACAGACAGAGAATTGAAACTAAAAAAAAATCATGATTACTACTTTCAAGTCCAGGGACAAATGCGTGTTACGGGTATTTCACAAGTTTATTTTGTTGTATGGACACCCAAAGGAATAAATATAGAAAAAAATTATAAAGATGAAGAAATATATGTAAAAAGATGGCAGATAAACTTGGGAGATTTTACTTTGGCGCATTATTGCCTGAAATAATTGATTCAAGAAGAAAAAGGAACCTGCCTTTGCGAGAGATTTTTTTAAAATAAATAAAATTTGTTTCTATTCTTTTATGTACTTTAATAATTTATTAGGAGTACATTTTTCATCACCAAGACTTGCATATTTTTGTTATAAATATATTTTGAAAATGATCTCTCGGCAAATGAAAACATATACCTACGACCACTTTTTTCGAGTAAACAATGAAGGGAGAAGTTACTGGGTGTAGGGCTTTTTTAAAACACCTCCTTTCTGGGATAAGTAGTAGATACACTTAACGTGTTAAACAAAAGCTGTATTTTATATATTTTTTATTATTATTAAAAATATGCTTATTAGTTTTATTAATTAACAAAGCAAAATATATATTAACAATAATATTACAATGAATTTTTAGTAATCATGTGTTTTGAATTCAGGATCCTGATTGGAGTAAAAATATTATAGTTCCCCAGTTTTAATTCGGTTTTATGATGGTACACTCATTGCGTAAAAGTTAATTTCCTTAACAATAGATTACTACGGCCGGTCCTGGCGGCTTGTTATAAAACTGAGTTCCTTGCCATAAATTATAAAAATCAGCCGAGAACGTTAACAATCAGCTTATGGTAGAGCAGGCGATAAGGGTTTTACCTGGAAAGTCGCTTCCGTAAATTTTAGCGACGCTCCTATCGGCAAAGCACTGAACTAACGGCTCAAAATCTGTCGAATTGATACCCATTTTTTTCAATAATTGTTAGTTTTTGTTAAAAACTCTGCTAACCAATACATCATTAATTTTCCTCTGATATTCCTGTTAAAATTATTCGACGTATTTTGCATTAATTTGTGGTATATTTTGATTTTAATAAACACATTATTATTCAAACAAATTGTACCACTAACAAACATTTAATGACTCTGCGCCCTGTAAAAAGTGATGTTTTATCCATGTGCGAATTTTCAAGCGATTCTATGATGGTTATGACTCAAAAAACTTGAAAAGAAAACATACAATGGTGCTTTTTTTACGATATTTCTCAGCCATATTTTTTTAATTGATTGAACTGCGCTCTAGAATATGAAAAAAGCTGCAGTTTGATGTATGATACATCTATATTAATATCATTTTTTCATACAAAATACCAAAAAAATGTTATACCTCGTCTAGCGAGTCCCCTTAACCAGATGTTCTTTTTCGGCATTTTGCGGCAAGACCGCTGAAGATTTTCTAGAAAAAAAAATTATTGTACCCAACTACCTACCTTAAAATTTTTCTAATGGAAACTTTTAAGTAAATGAACCGTTTATTTCACAACCATCAGTCTATCGCATCTGTCGTCGTACAGTGTTATACGTGGTTCTCCCTTGTTACATGTTGAGTTCTTTTTGGTAATATTACTAATATTTTAAAAGAATGCCGAAAGTAAAATCGACGCCGGATGAGTGGATAAGGGATTTTCCAGAATTAAAATTAGAAAACAACAAAATATTCTGCAGAGCTTGGGTGAAAACCGTAAGCCCACTAATTTTTTTTTATCTATTTTCCTTTGTTAATCCTGTATATGTACGTTGTTTTAGATTCAAAGTGATAAAAAATATAACGTGGCGCAACGTGTCAGAACGACTCTTCATGTAGAAAGGAAGAAAATGTTTGAAGTTTCTAAAATTAAACAGCAGACCATACATGAATCTGTTGCATCTACTTCCACAAAAGATGAGCAGTTTCAGTTTAATTTCGATTTATGTAAAATGATGATCCAGTCCAATATACCTTTAAAAAAATTGGAGAAAGACCCTCTTCAAGAATTCCTTGAAAAACACTGGAATCGACATATTCCGGTTGAAAGTACTCTCCGAAAAAATTATGTAGGTCCAGTGTTTCAGCAAGTTTACAACGAAATTAAACATCGCATTGGAGATAATTATTTATGGTTCGCTGTCGATGAAAGAACCGATAGTTGTGGAAGATACGTGGCAAGTTTAATTATTGGAATCTTAAATGAAAATTTCCCTAGTCGAGGGTATGTAGTAAGTTTGAAAATGTTAGATAAAACAAATGGCAATACGATTACCAGATTTGTAAATGACAGTTTTACGTCACTCTTTTTGCCAAATGCCGTACCGGCGAATAAAATTTTATTGATGATCTTGGATGCAGCTCGTTATATGTTG